TGTACTGAAGGGAACTGTTGCCCAGATATAGCAATTTGCTAAAAATGGCTACTGGAAAAACATCCTGCAAGAAAACAAATTCCTCTCGGCCATTCCCCAAGTTCAGTTTAGCGGTCTTTAGAAGCTGTATTTTAAAGCAGCCAGCTGGGAGATTGTGATGGGGGACATTACATAATAATCCCGTGCTAGTCTGTACCTGTGAAATTTCCCCCAAATTATCTTGTTTTAAATATGAATTGCGTTTCTGTTGTGCAATTTCAGATCTCATGATTTTATTTCATATAAATGAGTCGCTGGAATATGTCTTAACAGTAATTGAAGTGCTTAACAGGACACTAAGCGATAGTTTAATTAGTTTTGATCCTGTTCTGTTATATTCCTGGAATCCTTTCATAAACAAACAAAAAGCCCATTAACAACTGGTTTGCTAACCATTTAGCAAATGTTCTTTTATCATGTTCATTCTGTTTTCAGCAGAGCTGAAGCACAAACCGGTTCCTCATTTCCTGTATTTTAGACACTGCTCCAATTATTATGGCAATAAAATAATTCCTCCAGTTAAATGGGCATCAGCATCTTCAACTGCTGTCAACACAGCTCTGGTAATTGTGTTTAAGTGAAATCGTTATTGCAGAGCCAATGGAAAGGAGCACACGGGTGGTGGTGTCCCCTTTAAAGGGTGAACCTGGCATCAATATATTTTGGGATTGCTTTGTTTAAAAGATGAACCCCATCCACATAAGAAGTAGAGATGAATTTCACTATTGGGTTGTCACTTCAAGGCCATAATCTTTAATTTGGGGGTCTTAAAAAGGCCCTTTATAGTATTTTAATTTGAGATACAAAGTTGTCTCAAAGCTTTAGATACTTTTAAGTGATGAGAGCCTCTGGAAGTTACTCCATCTGTAACTCGCTTTGAGGATGTGTACCTGCACTCATTTGAGGGTAAAAACTGCCACTGATTTCAGAGATGGAAGATTGCAGTCGAAATGATGACATTGGGAGCAGTAGACACCTTGGGACAGAGGTTCAAATTCTTACAGAGTGAACTTGGCCCTATATCCTTCCAGGATAGATGCACAGTGAATTTCATGCACAACTCTGTGCAAGTCTTCCGGATAAGACCGTAGCTGAGATGCTTCTGCCTTGCATGAATGTTAAAGATCCAAAGGCTTTTGCTGGGGAAAACCTCTAGGAGAAAATGTCCTTGTCATCTTTTGTGGTTGTGTCGGATGCAGTATGTGCATTATCTTCCTGGTTGCTGCCTTTGGGCACCCATTTTGTAATTCCAGGTGTTTGTTTTTTTTTAAAAGCTCTGCTTAGGTTCTTTTTGGTAGCCAAATGGAAAGGAAATGTGAAAGATGAAGTTAGCCTGAGAATTGTGTGAGAGAGGGAGGGAGTGTTTTACGAGATCTCAGCTCTAGTTACGAGTCTGCTACTACCCTGTTAACTTGCGTCTGTTGTCCCATCTGTAAAATGGCAATAATGCTTAAGCTTTGATTAAACAAGGAATTTAGGTAAAGATATAGTTGCAGTAATGCCCTGCCTCTTCTACATAGATGCAGGTATATTGATATGAAGGTATTTCATAATGGGTTAGCTATTCCTGCACAGGGAGAATAATTGTAGTGGTACAAGCCTACAAGGAGGCACCTTTATATTGACATAGGTGTGCCCACATCAGGCCTTTTACTGTTATGTAACTGTTCTGGTTACAGAATCGGCCATTACCAAATTAGTTACACCAGTAAAATTCAAGTTGGCACAATCACCTTTGTAAAGGGGCTTGAGCTGCCTATCATAAAGGTGATGGTGGCATGCAGAGATCTTTCAGAGCGCTGTCTAAAAGTACCTCGATGCTTACGGACTGACAAATAATGAAAAAGGCTTTAAGAGGCAGCTTGCTGCTTTTACTTCCTGGCAAACGGCTTGCGTATTAAAATGTTCGGAGCCGTCTGCCCTTTTTATGGGTCTTAACAGTGGCTGTCATTTGTATTTGAGACTTTGTTTAAAAAACAAAATTGCAATGCAAAGCTGTGGGTTTCCTGATCTTTGATGAATTGTGCCACCATGTTATGGGTAAGCTGTAAAACAGATGCCGAAATGCAAACCCGTTGCCTTGTGGAATTGTTTTGTTCCCCGGCGTTGCCCGTCTCAGATCCCCTAGCCAAGGCCCCACTTCCCCGCACACTAGCTTGGTATGCAGAAGCTGCAGAGTCTGTTCACTGTGCTTTATTTACGGAAACAGCAGGGTTGAGATTGATTGCGTTGTAAGACAGTGTGTGGATGAGGGAGGGTCACAGCACATGCTCAGTCCTGTCAGTCCGAGGGCGAAGTTTCTGCGTTGTGCGTGCAGGCTTAGGTCATAGCACAAGCTCAGTGAAAGCTCTCTGAGGTCTCTCAGACTGCATGTGCCTCCATTTTGAGTTGTTAGAGTGGAAAAAGGCAGAGTTTTAGCTGTAAGTAGAGGTTCAGGAATACATCTAAACCCACCAGAGCCTGTCATAGTCATGGATGATCCATTCAGCCCCTGCAGGTAGGCTACATCACTCTGGCCTCCCTAACCAGTGATGATTTTTGCTGCTATTTCTGACTTCTGCAATGTTTATGAAATCATTTCATTATTCTTGCATGTTCTTCAGAACCTTATAATCGCATCAGCCTCGCTGTGCAGCTGTATGTCTGGTGCATGAAAGCAGTGTATCTACTGGCTCAGGGATGCACGGACCTGAATGCTGAAGCTGTGCGGATCGGGGTTGTTTTTTTTTTTCCCTTCCCTCCCCCCCCCTTTCCCCCTCCTGGTGCAGTTTTAATTTCACTTGCGCTCTCTGCATGCCAAGTGTGTGGCACGTCTGTAGGGAGCTGCAGAGCCGGTCTGGGGGTTGCAGCGTTGTCTATGTGGCTAGTAGGAAATGTTTGGGCCTGCAAGAGACTGTTTAGATAATGTTGCAGGGAGGGTCGTAGATCTGCAGCCATTGGTTGCCTTGAAGGTGGGTGGAACTTGTTTTGATTGAGAGCCTGTTTGCCTGGGCAAATGATAGTTCTGATGCTATTTCTTTAAGTGTCTAAAAGCAAATAGTCAGCACAGTTCTGTGCGCCTGTCGCATTCGTGTGAAGCAGCCATGTCGGTCTCAAACATGGGCTTGCGCATTAGAAATCTTCATTAAGAGAAGTTTGTCATGTGACAGTTTTCAGAGCTGCTGTACTGGGTTACTGAAATATTTGTGTAAGAATTCAGACTGGGGGGCTGTATAAAATAACGCCACTTGTCCCTGCTTAATCGGATGCAGTAAATGCTCGGTACCTGGTTTGGAGGTCTCCGTGCACGACTGGGTGGAGTGATGGGCGAGTTGTCATTAGTGGAAGTTGGGGGACATTGGGGTGTTCAGGGAAATGAGGGGAAGGGAACTTGATTCGGCAGTGCAGTCTTATTGGAGCATTACCTGAGCTGGTGCAGGGCTCGGTGCGGCGGGGACTGTTGGTGTGATATGGACCTCTGGCTTGCCAGCTGGATTGCAGAAATGATCACCTCTGCAGAAGGACCGCTGCTTCATGGTACTTCTTGGTTTGTGGTAACTTCTCTTTTCCAGTTGCTGTTTGCAAGCACTGTGTTTTGGAGTGTCTGCATGGTTTGGGACAGGGATAATTGCCTATGTGGCCTTATACCTACAGGATGCCACACTGACAATTCACTGGCCTACCTGGAAGATAAGCACGTGCGCAAACGCTGGCATTGCAACAGCACTTACTGCCTGGCTACTGGTCTCACCAGAGGCCAAGGACCCACATGGGTTGCGAATTGTCCTCTCATCCAGGCTGGATGAGTGCATTGAGCACAGAAAGGCTTTGTTCCTTCCACCTCTCCTTGTACAGTGTCAGGGTGAAATGAAACGGTGAATGTTTAGTAATAGGTGGATGTCGAGGATTTGTCAGTAACTCAGGTTGGTGTAGTGTTAGAAGCTACAGTTCATGCATGATTTTTGTCCATTCTTTTTCCTTGACTGAGGACTTGTCCTTAATCTGGGTGAAAAGTTGCTCTGGAAAGGTACCTCTGAAGCAGTGTCCACCTTGTGTGGACCTCTTGGTTAGCAGGAACCTAGTCTTACTGTCAGGGGGTACTTCCTTCAGGAGGAATGAGGCAATTGCTTGCACTGTCTGCATCCCTAGTTTTCATGCTATACCTATGCCATACATAAGAGAGGATTTTTGTCCAGGGTGGTCTTTCCAACTCCTTTCCTCATCACTTGCATTTAAAAACCAAAATGGGGCGTCTGGAAAGATTCTGGGCTCTAGCGTGGAGCTGAAAGCTTGGCCATGTTTGTTTTTAAGGCGTATCAGGTTAATTTAAACTAGCAGAGGTGGAAAAAATAAAAACCCCTTTAGATCATAACAAAACATACTTGTCAAACAAAAATGTTGCATTTGGCAAAACAAAAATCTGCTGAGAATGGCATGCTGGTAATCCTTTACGTAAGCACTTGCACGTGGCCGAGACCTCCATTAAGCTGGGCTCACCCAGATCCTGCAGTTGGAGGAGGCCCCTTGCGTTGGGTACTCTACAAACACAGAATAAAATAGTTTCTGACCAGTTATACTATTTCTTTTTTAAAGAAGGAATGAATGCCTCTTGGGACTATGGACAGAGGTGCCTGCTAATCCACTTTAAAAGCCAGGGGATCTGAGGAGTGTGCATCACCTGTTACAATACAACTGTTAGGTTTGTGTGCTTTTGTAGCAATACAACTTAGCTAAATCAGGGTTTAGATTGCAACAGTTCTTTTTTTTATTCGTATCTTTTCCAGAAGCCTTTATAGGTGGACCAGTTATCATAACATCTAATATCAACACTATATGTACTGATAGATAGAATTGTATCCATCTATACCCGGAGCCACCTATTGCTGATATATAATGCTCTCTGTTCTTGTGTGTGATGCTGCACTGTTCTTTGGTTTCTCTGAGCCCTTGATTCATCCTTTGCTTCCTCCCCCACCACACAGATTTCTTCACTACCTTTCCTGTGGTGGTGATGATGGACTGCCATTTTGGGACAAGCAGCACTCCTGGTAGGTTTGTGGCTGTGAGTAGGAGTTGGTATGCTTTGGTTGGGCAAAGCTCGGGGCCGGTTTGGAAACTTTCAAGTTCCATCCCTGCCACTGACTGTGTGTGTGGTTTTAGACTGCCTCATTGGGATCTCTTGCTGCTTCTGCAAAAAGTGAGTAAAACCTGTCACACGGTGGGTTGTGATGCTGAACCTTCAGGTTGCAGAATTGCCGTAATGACCCAGCCAAGCTCAGGTCCTGTCCTGCTAGGTGCTGTTCAGACAGATAGATAGTGCAGAACACTTTCTGCCCAAGGAGCAGTGCAGTGTGTGTTTGTGCAGTAGTTTGGAAAGATTAGCATGTGAAAGGGAGAGTTTTTACTGAGCCCTAAAGATTTCATAGCTGAGTACAGTGGGTCTGTATTTTTTTTCCTGTTGTATGCCTTGGTTTAGGAGGAGTTTAGTGACTGGTAAATCAGTACGGTTATAGGTCCCCCCCCACCCTCCCCTGCAGCTCCATATCTCAAAGTTGTAATTTGTTTTTAATTAGAAACCTTGTCCCTCCATGTCAGCATATCAGTGCCTGCAGTCATCCATGCTTTGCTTACGTCTCCTGTTCTTCAAGCCTTGCATCAGTGTTGTCTGCCTTCTGACCAAGGGCTACAAAGCAAGACTGAGTGGTGTGGGCAGGTTCCTGAAGTGGTCAGAGGGCTTATATTGAAGAGATGTCAAACACCTCCACTCCCCACTATATTTGCTCAGTAGAAGCTGAGCAGGTTACTTCTGAATCTGTTGCTGACTCTACTGACCAGGTAAACTAGACCAGGCCTGCAAATGGGAGTTCACTTTCTTGTGCGGCACGACAGAAACCTCATGGTAGATCACCAGATCAGCCCTGTGAGCTACCCTGGGAAGTGGTACAGAGCTCGGCTCCTGGATCAGTGGTGGTTAGGTAGAGCGGGGACTGTAATGACTTGAATGAGTGATCAGTCTTTTTAGTGAGATGTACAGGGATGTTGACCTCTTAAAAACTAGATTGATATAAGCCTGTTTATCCTGATACATCTGTGGCCATATTAGGGTGTTTATACTCCTGTAGTGATTATTTTTTTCTGAACCAATACAATTACAACACTATAACAAACTGTATGTATGCAAGCTATTAAAATGCACCAAGAATGTTCAGTGAAACCAGATCACTTTTTTCCAGTAATTCCTCAGGATGACGGCATTTGGAATCCTCATTTTTAAAGAAAATAAAATGAATACCAACATTGGGAAAAAATAATCGGAAACTTCAGAATAGCTCTTATTTGCCAGCAAAATATTAGCCACTAAATTAGTATCTCATTTAGTTTTAAATGCTGCTTAGTTTTTGTATTTCACTCATCTGTCACAATGGAAACGTGGTGATCAATTCTGTTTAGGACCAAACTACCTTTCAGCCCTCTGTATAAGTCTAGCTCAGGAATAAACCCAATTTATATTCATATCCTAATTGATACCCCTGAAGATGAGGTCCTTGCCCTGCGTGGTTCAGGAATCTTTCCAGCTTCTTGTCTTTTCAGAGAGCCCAACGGGAACGGTCTTTCTTCCGCCTCCTTCATGTCCTGACTCCTGTAGCAGTCAACAGGATGGAACTTGCATTGAAGGCAAAACTGTCGACACAGGTTTGCCTGTTCCTGTTTTCAATTCAGGAGTTGCAGAAACTTCCATTTTGATTTATTAATCTTGAAACATTTTAATTTTTAAAACCAGAGGTGCAATTCCTCACTTAAATGCGAATGTTCATGCACATAACGGCTTATTCTTTTTTTTTTTTACATACTATCTGCTGTTAAAACAGGATATGAAATTCAGTTTGAAAAATGTCATAGACTTGTAATCAACTTCACTTTCCTGTTGTATCCTGTGCATGAAGAGAAGAGAACTAATAATTCAGGAATCTAATGTCTGATGGCATAAAGTCATAACCAAATACACTGGTTGGAATTTGAAACTAGAGCAATTCAAAATGGGAAACCTGGATTAAATTTTGAAGTTATGAGAGTTAACTGTTGAAATAATTTTACCAAATGTCTGTAGTGTATTCCCCAGTCACTCAAAGCCTTTAAATGCAGATAAAATTAAAAGGCAGTGGCCATATTTTATGGCTTTAGGCAGGAATTTCTGAGTAAGGTCCTATGGCCTATATCACGCAAGAAGTCAAACTGTACATTGATCGTGATCCCTTTTTAACTTAAAATCTATTAATCCTTAAACTGTCACTTGGGTTTCTAGATTTCTGATTGTTTTTGTTTTGAAAACTGTGAATAGATTAATAAAAATTGAGCATGGATGAAGACATTCCTAATTAGACTTAGGTCTTTACATTCGCACTCCCTGTCCTATCTATCCACGCTCAGACTTTTTCACATTGAAAATCTGAAGCCCAGTCAGCTCTGTTTTGAGGGGAGAGAATTAATTAAGCATCCTTTTTAAATTAGAGCATTGTTATAAAAATATTTAAAACAACCCCTTTGCTTCCTCCCAAACCCTGCCATGGATGTTGCTTCAGAGTATTTGAGCTTTTAAAGGGCAGTGTTTAAGTATGGTGAGCCAGTTGTTGCTATACAGCAACAAGTGTGTGTTGAGCTTTATAGGAGGAATGTGGGTGGTGTGGAGTATTTTTGGGGGCATAGAGGATGGCAAGAAACATGTGAGACTCTGTTTTATAGAGGTTTAAAATTTAAAATGGGAAGAATACCATTCTAGTAAGCGTGTCTTGCCAGTGATATAACCATCATGTCTGTGGGTCCATAGGAACCTCTTGTTAAAATCCAGCCATCCAGGTAGAGGGAAATGGGGATAATTATTCTCCCTTTCATGGTATCGGTCCTTCTGGAGACACAGAACCCCTTCCTTAGATTACTTATAAAAGTGCGTCTGAGGAACAAATTTTTTTGCCTGGAGAAACAACCACTGATAGCAAACGATAGATATTTTCAGAGTGTTTCCAAGGAGAGCATGTTCATCGCCCCTTCTCTGGGTCGCTCTTCCCAGTCTTGTTCTTCATCACATTTAGCCCCAGTGATTAGTGGGGACCTGCTTAACTTGTGACAAGACAAAGCCATTTTCATGCCTCCTTGTGGCAGGAAGGACTTATTTTGGGGGCATTTTCCAGCGCCCCCCCTAGCCCTAACAATCCCCCGCCAGCGCAGATTAGCAGAGAAGCCCTGCCACTGCTGCAGACAGCCTGTAAGTCTCAAACTCATGAGAGTGGCTGCGGGATTGCTGCATTGTCTAAGTATCGTTGTAAAGTTTGAGATTCTAAAACAGCAGGTTTTGTCAATAGTATGCTGGGGGTTTTTGTTTTTGGGTTGATTTCCTGGGAAATTGTGACCGACGGAATATTTCCTGTGATTGTGGACACTGCCATGATCGTGGATGCCGAGAAACTATGAATTACTGTAAGTAGGTCCCTAGTGATTGGGAATTGCCATACTCCATCATACTCTGTCCATTGAACTTACTGTCCTGTAAGTACTTGAGACCAGCTCCAATACTTCAGTGAAAGGTAGACGAGATGCAGGAGTCAGCATTTTACAACAGAATAGCCTTGGCTATAGGGGGAGCCTCTTGCTAATCCTGATTGACTTTCATTGATTTGTATGTGGGAGCAGGAGCATTTCTAACCCTCCTTAAAATGGGAAGCCTGTGTATTTGAATAATTGTGGATGCTCTCATCTGCATTAACAGCTAATTTGAGAGAGAGAGAAATATAGACTATAACTGCTGGCAGTAGGTGCTAGTTTTTACCCCCTTTTCCAGGCCATTAGTAAATAACTTTAAATACCACATGCTCTAGAATGAAGCTGCTGAGTACCCCTGAGTTCACTTTTGCCACTTAAGACTGACCCTTTATTCCTCCCATGTTTTCTGTCACTTCAGCTGGTTTCTAGACTTTACTTCTCTTGCTTCTCTTGGATCCTTTGTTTCTCATATTAATAAAATCATCTGGACTCAACAGCTTGTACTTTCTCTCTCCCCAGAGACTCTTCTTTTCATCCTCTCCTCTCAGTATTTTTCAGGGTGCAGTGATCCACTCCTCCCCAGGCCACAACCATTTTAAATTAGCTTTCTGAAACTTTTCCCATGTGTGGTGTGATGTCTTGGCTTACTGCCGTGCCCGCGTAGCACTGGAGAGTGGCTTGTGGTAGGCAGGTTTCTAACCGCATTCCCGGAGACCTCCCAAGAGGAGCCAGTAGACTCTTGGAGAGGCACACTGAGCCTGTTTGAAGCCCCTTTTCTGCTTAAGCTTTAATTTGGTTAATTATAGATCATCTCAGTACACAGAGATCAGGGAGGATTCTGTCAGACAGGAGATCAACTTAATCTTCAGAGACAGCCAAGGTTGCTGTTTTGTAAATGGGTTTGGTTCTTTCAAGACGCACGTTTTTATTAACCGAAAAGCTTATAACCACTTTTGGCTGGTGGCACAGTTCCAGTAACCGAAAAGCTTATAACCACTTTTGGCTGGAGGCACAGTGCCATGGAGCCAGTGGCACAAGTGCTTCAGCCTGAAACGTGTTGCAGAGGAGAAGGTACCTGTGTGCATGGTGATGAAGGTGCGCATTGCATATGAGATGGAGGTTGTAGTCCCTTGGGTTGAATACTGAGATCACCACCTCTCCATGGATGTAATTTGGTGTAATAGGGCTATGATTCTTGTGTACTGTGCTTTTCTTCGGAGAAGAGCAGGCATGTCCCTGTAGCGGGCAGCATGCCTGTGACTTTTGGTCTCCGAGATCAACCTCATATGTTTCCTCTCCTTCCTTCCGAAACTCAAAAAATAGAACCTGCCAGGAGCTGTGGGTCTAAATGTTGACATTGGGATTCAGACTAGCTTATCTTATCAAGGCCGGGCAGTGGAGAGAGGTGCTACGTGTGCTTTTCCATTTGCCTCTCAGTCCTGATTGGCAGCTCAACCCTGTGCTCCCAGTCTGGGGCCCTGCTCAGCCCTAGCAATGCAGTTCAGTGGTGATTTGCAGCACCATTTCTCAGCCCTCTGCTATACTTCAGACCTGCTCTTCAGCACCCCATGTTGCCTCAGTCCTCCTCACCCCAAGCAATATAGTCTGGGTGTGAAAACGTCCCTGCTGCTCCCACGCTGCACCTTTTCCTGAGCAATGCCCGGCGATCTTGCCAAGCTTCGCCGAAGTGGGCCTGGTCGGCTGCAAGCCAAAAAAAAAAAGACTAACCCAACAGGGTTAAAACTCCTGCTTTGATCAAAGTTAGACCTGAACTGAGATCACCATCAATTCCCCTGCCCCTCCTCCCCATCCTTTCAGCAGTGGTCCACTAACGCTTAGCACCATTCTTGTACCTTTGAACTTCTTTCATTCAGTGGCACCCCTTGGGTTTGAATCCTCCAGCCCTCCTGGTGTCTTAAAATGGCAAGGACAATGCGTTATTCAAGCAAACATCCCATCTCTTCTTTCTGAGCTGTTCAGAACAAGCCTCTCCTGGATTAGAGAATGCCAGTGCTTTGCCCTGCTCTGCTACGGATACTTCTGCCTTTTTGATATTCAGTCGCAGGCTTCCATCTCCTTTCTGTCCAGCCCCTGTTTACTTCATAGAATACAATGTTGCCATGGCAACAGGTTACTTTTCAAAGGGAACATCTTGTCATTATATTTAATCCACTGCAGCTGAAGAGGACTGAAATATTAAGTTGTTGTTGCTATGGATACTGCTTTGTTACATCAGTTTCTTTTGTGTCAGATTTCATATACAGTGTTGGGTCCTGTTCCCCCCCCTTTCTATGGAATAAACAGAGAGCGCCTTTCCATTATTCTTGTAATTGCTCTCCACCAATATAATTTGGCTTCAAAGTTTATGATACATTTTAGTTTCCATTGCAAGAATTTTCTTTCCATTTGCAAAACCTTTCCTGGGGCGGTGGAAATTGGCTAAAAAGCATCCAGTGGATCTGTGCATTGCTGCAGGGAAGTCAGCTGTGCCCCGCTTTGACTGTACAGTGCCGACAGAAAGAGCTCTCTGCCCTTCCAACGAAATAGGTGGCATGGCAGTTAACGTCTCTCCTTGCCCCCATCCCACCTTTGCCCCTTCAGGAAAAAAAATGACTC